ATCTGCTGGTGAAAGTTCTATGCATGCTTTTTACAAAGATAAAGGGAGCAGATGTGGGTGTGCGAGAGGAGAAGGGCTGTATGAATGTGTGTGTCTGGCTTTATCAAAGGATAAGTGAAGGTCCAAAAGTACATATGTGTCCTGTTTATGATTAAGGTTAAAAGAACAAAAACTATTTTCAAACAATTAAAACTGATGCTCATCTGGGAACAATAGCGACTTTTAGACCCAATTTAAAAAACCAAACCTTAAACCTTCTTACTAACTCAGCGCTAAGATCTGAGGGATACTCCAGGAATAGTGCCTTTCCCTAGAGCTGATTGATCAGTAGTTTTGTACCTGTTGATCTCTTATTTTAAACAGAACATGCTCAAGAGCAGGTGGCGTGTGAAGCAAGAGTAAAACACCCAAGGTTAACCCTGAAGTTCCCTCGATAAGCCCCACATCCTACTTGGTAGCACAGGCTTCTGCAGTTTGTTAGCTCGTAGTACTCGGCAGCACATCAGTCATTTTATAATCTGGTGGTGGTGATAAAATTAGAAATGCTCGCCTCCACATGAAAAAGGCGGATGGGCGGGACACTGTTTGCCGGCCAGGCTACATTTCCTGAATGCCCATTCATCCTTCTCCTCCTCCGGATAGCAGTGTGGGAAATTGATCGTGATTGCCGAGTAGAAAGGAGCAGAAGTGGTTTTTAGACCTCATACTGCAGATTTGTAAAAGCCCTCTGTGATTTCTGTCCATCTCTTGCTCCCACACAGTAGAGACAGTGAGTAGCTGGGGAGGAGGTGAATGCACTAAAACGTTGCTCTGTGGGGGAAATATGCAGCAAATAGGGTCGTTAAAAACAACTTTCAGCCAAAGGTAGAAAACGGCAATAACTCAGGAATGTTAACTGCATCTGCAGAAAGACTGCAGAGCGACTACAACGCACCTGCGCTGTGCTGGGCTGCAAAACCTTATCAGACAAGCATCTCTTAAGCTGAGCTCAGCACAAAGATTGGAATCAGGTTGAAACAACAAACTTTGTTTGGTCTGTAAGTAACAATATCTCCACCAGCACCTGGTACCACCTGGTATGTGGTACCTCACTAACAAGCACGTCTTTGGACTGTGAGAGGAAGTCGTCTGCTTCTCCATCACTCACTAGAATAGCTCATGAGGGTGAGAACAGCAGGCATCGAGTGCTTTTCTCCTTTCCCTTTAAACCACACACAGGTGTTAACAGCACCACTCTGACTCCAGGCAGTTTCTCAGCTAAAACAGCCACTTCACTATTCTAATGAGAACTGATACAGAACCAGCAAACATTTAGGCTACACACACACACACACACACCCTGTATGAATCGCTCTGCCATGGATTTGACTGTAAACCACATTTTAATTAAGCACTTCTCGAGTTACCTCCTGTGCTGCCTGACAGGTGCTGTTAGTTATCTGTCACCACAACTGGTGGCCAACCCTGTGACTGAGGTTATCAAATGTAGGCTAGCAGGGAACCAAACTTTATAGATGACGTCATTACCCGTGATCTGTTTACAAGTGGGTAAACAGATCGCTTGTGTGCCGATCAGTGCTGGAAACCTCAGCACATCGAGACATGTTTAAATATTGAAAGCATGGCAGGAACACTAAGGTCACTTCAGCTCTGCGCTCACACGCACATATGCAAACCACATGTTACCTTAAAACGAGTCAGTTCATTTATCTCATTAACATGTAGCACTGTTGACTTCAGCATAGAGGTGAATAAGAGAGTGCCGATGCTTTAAAGGACTTTCTGTACAGTAACAGGACAGGCATGAAGATAAAACGCCGTGTTTTCCTGAGCGGACGGATTCTAAAACGCAGAGTGAGAAGGAATAAAAAAACAAAGTGCTCCTATTCAAAAGCAGCAGCTGCAGAAACACAGCTGAGGAGAGGTTACAGCAGACTCGCAGAGCAGGGAGACTGATGCATTAAGAGGATTTTCAGGGTTTAAACTCTGACTTCAGTAGGCCGTGTTGTACCACTGAGTGGTCATGATTCTAAATCTGGTCAGGATGTCCAGTTTCTGCTAAAACTAATGACGGGATTTTCTTTCTGCGTGGTCTAAAATGTTTGGCAACCGCGAAGACGTCTCAGTCGGAGCTGCTGTAATAAAATGATTTTTAACCAGATTTTTTGATTGGGATTTAGTTTACTCCAACATAGCAGACAGCTTTTCTTATTAAATGATAGAAGATAAAGATGTCTACATTTCTGTCAGACAAGGTAACAGAGTCATTGCCTTGAATAGACAAAGACCATTTGTGCCCATAAGTCACTTCTCAGAGGCTCAGTGCAGGCCAGGAAAAAGCTCATGTTGTTGGCTCAGTCGGTTAGGATAACACAGCCATGACCAAAATAACTTCCAAGGAACCGAATCTGCACATTAACAGGGAAAAGCAGCAGCAGTGACACAGTCAAATCCTCCAAACTCATTTCAAACAGATGGGCCACAAAAACAAAAATCCTGATTCTTTACAAGTTTTTTTATTCCATGTTTTACACATTCGTGACCTTCTCTGTGTCTGCAGGAGGGAAGTGGTCGCTGCTCGACAACGGTGTCCTCAACATCACTGGCATTGAGTTCGCGGACCGCGGGAAGTACACCTGCATGGCGTCCAACGCGTACGGCAGCTCCAACTGCACGGTGACGCTGCGCGTGGTGTTCACCAACGGCGACATGGGCGTGTACTACATGGTGGTGTGCCTGGTCACCTTCACCATCATCATGATCTTGAACGTCACACGCCTCTGCATGATGAGCAGCCACCTGAAGAAGACGGAGAAAGCCATCAACGAGTTCTTCCGCACCGAAGGCGCAGAGAAGCTGCAGAAGGCCTTTGAGATCGCCAAGAGGATCCCCATCATCACCTCGGCCAAGACGCTGGAGCTCGCCAAGGTGACGCAGTTCAAGACCATGGAGTTTGCGCGGTACATCGAGGAGCTGGCCCGGAGCATCCCGCTGCCCCCACTCATCATGAACTGCCGCACCTTCATGGAGGAGATCCTGGAGGTGGTGGGGGTGGAGGAGATGAGGCACACCTTCCTCAGGCAGGCTCCCGACGGACGCCGGCTCCCCTCCATCGGGGTGAGAGATGTCTTCACAATCCTGCAGGAGAGGGAGCGGGGACGCAGCGAGTCACCCGCCGCCGATTCCGACAACTCCTCCGATCACGAGCAGCCGCAGCACATCGCCATCCAGGTGTCGGTCCACCCGCCACTCGTTGTCGGCGGGTACAGCGAGGAAGCCGCAGAGCAGCCAGAGGCTACGGCGTCCCCGTCCCCGCCGCCGTCTTCTCTTCACCACAATGAGCAGCCCGAGGACACCGAGGAGGTCGCTGCCGCCGACGAACCGGTGGCAAGCAAGACCCCAACATGCCAGGTGTTCTACGAGAGCCACGTGTGACGAACTGTGGCGAGCTCCGGAGAGACGATACGTTACCCTGCTATGCATTTCCACTTGAAAAAGGTCCATAAACATTTGTAAGTTCACATTTTGAAGAGAAACAATCAGTTGTATTTATCGTTTGTGAACAATCTCTCTAAACCTCTGCAGGCTCATCTACTGAAAATCAATCAAAAGGAGACTCTGGGTGCTTGAATGTATCCGGGCGGAGGAATATCAGTGTAAATGTAACAAGCAAAGCATTGTAAACGGGCATTTCCTGTGTTCTTATTTAAAGAGTTGTGGGGATTTTTTCAGTTGGTAGTTTCTTACAGTGCTAGGGGTTTTTAACGACATACTTCAGAAATCTGCCTCAAGCTGCTCTGCGTACTCTTGTTTTCGGATTGTGAAAGCGAGCTTCCTAGATCCACTCCAGAATTCACATCCAGCTACTGTCACAGCCTACAGATGCATGCCGGACTCTAGGAGCAATAGCCGACAGTCCGACTGCTTACTCATGATTGTACAAGCTCTCTGCATCTCTAACAACATGGAAGTAAGCGAGGAGAGAGAGCACACACACACTGGGTGGAGCTTAGATCTGTTTCCTTTAAAATACTTTGAGTATTTTTATTATTACTGCCCATTTTGTGCTGTGATTTTTGTTTCTTAGTCATTTTTATCTTCTTACTAAGACTAGTGTCTTGTTTTCGCTTGAGTAGAGAAGAGCAGCTTCGCTTCCTTTGTGATTTTATTTTAATTTGACTCCTGACCCGATTTCTGCGTCTTCGTCTTGCTTCTGCAGAAGCTTTACAGTACAGTCGTATTTCTGCTGCATGTTGGGATTTTAGACATCTTTCTCTGGGACTGAAATGACTCCTTTTGTTTGGCCCTTCGCTTGGCTTACGGTCCAGTCTGTGGCAGATATGAGTGGGCGATGTTCTGCTTCTTCTGGTGCTCTTCGATGCTTCTCTTTTGTAGTGGAATAAAATGAAAGTGCTGTGCTTAAAATGATTCCACAGTTTGGTCTGATGTCTGTTTTTCATTATCAGTCATGAAGTTGGCATATTAAATGGAACTTATTATGCTCATTTCCAGCTATTACAGCAGCTTTGCATGATTCACAGTTCAAAGTAATCATTTATCACAAGTAACCCTGTATGAAATAAGCCATTATTAGCACCTCTCCATTTACACCAGTAGTTCTCAGCTTTTTCTGGTGTTTCCTTTTTTCCCAACAAGCAAAAGGTTCCTGGTTCAATTGTAGGAGGAGACAAAGTCTTTGGGGTTGTATCAGAAAGAGCATCCAGTGTAACATGACAAAAACAAAACAAAAACATGGAGCTGTGCTGACCTCTTGTGACAAAAATGGAACAGTCATCTTACTTCTGATTGGCTGAGAGAAGAGAAGCTAAAGCATCAAGTGGCTGCAACTATGCCCTTTAATAATACACTAACAAGGCTTATTTTGAGCCATGACTCATGTAAAGTTACTCTAGTAGAATCAAGAATAAAAATCTAAGATGGAAGTGGGAGTAGCTGACCTTTAAAAGCTGAATAAAGACAAAACAAGTTGCATTGAAGTTTTGGTCCTTTTATTCTTTTTCACTGCAGTCCAATAACAAACCATTCAAGGTCTGCTTTTTCCTCAGCTTGAAATCGTATGCTCCCGAAGGCATTCATGTGAAGGGCGTTAATAATGCAAGTTAGACCTTTTTGTGTAATGGCTGTGGTAGCCATGGCTACGAGGCTGTGCCAGACACAGGTGATGGAGGAAACAGATCTCCTGAGGAGAGAAAAAAATAAAATAAGTCTCATTTCTTTCAGAATGCAGGTGAACAGCAGCACATTCATTCAAACAACAAACCCACAAACTGAGAAGCTGCACACAAAATGTTCACACAGCTAATCCGATGTTAATATGGATTTAGGTGAGAAAGCCCTGTTTGTTTCTGAATCTGCAAGAGGATCAGACACCGTTTTGTGAATAGAGGTGAACAGGGAAAGGACAGAGTCATGAATGATAGATGTGTAAGTGGATCGCTGTCAGGTCGCTGAGACACTGGGCAGGGACTGCTCACAGAAGCTGGTCCATCTCTGGGAAACCTGAACCTCTCAAACTCAACCCCATTCCTGCGTTTGGGACAACATTATAAGACTTCCTGTCTGCACTAATTAGCTTCTGCTAGTCTGAGGACAAGAGATAAATCACAAAGTGCAGTGCGAATAAACAAATGTCTCGATCTGAGAGAAGCCTTTTCTGTTTCAGCAGCAGGCTGTTGCATTACACCTAAAGGGAACCTCAGACGCTTCAGTAAGACACGAGTTCATTTTAGGCTTGAAATCCTTTTTTAACATCACAAAAAAAGCAATTAATATCTGTTTTACAAACATGTATAAACAGAAATGACTTCACGTCTCAGATTTCTTGCAATATGACTGAGCAGTTGTTGAGAAAGCTGCAACCACAGAGATTATTAGGAGAGACTGAATGAGAGAGAAGATGTTTCATACCGTCTATGCACAGCAAATCATCAGTGGAAGAATCATCAGTGGAAACCTATTAGCTGTTTGTTCTGTCCTGCCACACACACACACAGTGTCAGCGTGTCCTTGGAGGAAAGTGGGGTAAGATGAGCCAGTGGGTAAGTAGATCCACCCTAAATTTAGGTGACATTTCCTGTTTCAACTGGCTCTGGAGGAAGAACCTGATAAAGTGGATAACATTCTTTTTTAAACAAGATTTTCTTTGCATCATCAGTTGCATATCAAATTCTGCTTTTATCTTAGATTATATACAGTAAAGTTATACCACAGCCGCCAGATGTGCCACATCTGTGTCAACAATATGGCAAATTATGGCTGTGGAGCAACATGAGAACAGAGAGTGAGTGCGTGCCTATCCATGCTAATGTTTCTAAGTGCCCGAATAAACAACGTGCAAAGCAGGGTGGAGAGTATTTGCACAGCATTTGACTACAAACAATAATGAAATCCTTACAATGTTTACAGTAAGTGATAGCTCGGCCTGCAGGTTCTTCCTCTGGCAAAGACCACAAGATTGCAACCACAACTCCGAAGAAAACCTGATGACCTGAAATACAAAGCAGCCATTACATGAAAGGAAAAGAGACAGCAAATCAAGAGTTACACTCACTGGACAGTTTATTAGGTACCTTCATGGTCCATGTTGGCATGACAGCATCACACATCTATGATTTGAATCTCCTCTTCTTCCGCATCTCAAAGCTGCTCTATCACACTGAGATCTGGAGACTGTGGAGGTTGTTTGAGTTGAGTGAACTCATTATGTTCAAGAAACCAGTTTGATCTGAGCTTTCTGACATGGTGTGTTGTCCTGCTCGAAGCAGCCATCAGATGGTGCACTGTGGTCATAAAGGGATTGACATGACTGGCATTAATACTCAGGCAGGCTGTGGTTTTTAAATGATGCCCAGTTAGTACCGAGGGGCTCAAAGTTTGCCAAGAAAATATAAGCTTCCACACTCAACTGATTATGTGAAGATGTTATGGGAAAAGGAGGGAGGGATGTGTATTTCTAGGGAAGAATGGACTCAGATGTGGGAATGGCAATGGAGGAGCACTTCCTCCAAAAGCTGGAGGGAGTTCGGATGGAAAACTCTGATAAGGTTCTTTATCACTCCATGTCAAAAGGCTCACTATGATGGGAATCCTCCCGTGTGCTGGCGAAACTGTGGATACCAAGGAGCCCATCATACCCATATTATGTGGGACTGTCCTGTGCTACGGACTTACTGGAAAGACATTCATGGTATATTACAAGGCATTTTTAACTGTACATTCCCTCAGGATATGAAGACAATTTTTTTTGGCTGTATACCGCAGAACTGGTCCAAAAGTGACATATGTCTGTTACGAGCTTTATTGGTTGCAAGTAAGAAATGTATAACAAAGAAATGGTCCTCGCAAGACATACCGACTTTGTCATTATGGTGGGAAATTACGTTAGAGATATATAGGATGGAGGAAGTAACAGCTCATGTTAATGACAGGATGGCCTGGTTCCATCTGTGCTGGGATAAGTGGGTCCAATACGTTAATACCTATAAACCGAATTTTCTCTTTAAAGCTTGAAACCACCAATTTAGTTAATTGTTTACTCCCGACAGAGCTTTCTCCTTTTATTTTATATATATATATTTTTTTTCCTTTTTTTTTTTTTTTTTTTTCTTTCTCTTTCTTTCTATCTGTCTTTCTTCTCGTTTTGTTTCGTTTTTCTCTTGTAAACTGTGTTAATTAATGCCTGTAATCATCTTTATGAGGTAATATTGTAGAAATAAAGAATATAAAAAAAAAAAAAAAAAAAAAAAAAGAAAATATCCCCAACATTATACCGCCACCAGCCTGGACTGATGATACAAGGCAGGATGGAGCCACGCTTTCATGCAATTGACACCAACTTCTAATCCTACCTTCTGAAAGTTCCAGAGACTCATCAGACCAGACGCCATCTATTGTTGTCCAATTTTGGTGAACCTGTGAACTCAGTTTCCTGATCTTAGCTGACAGCAGTGGCAGCTGCTGCTGAAGCCCATCTGCTTCAAGATTCAACATTCAGAGATGCTCTTCTGCATCGTCTACTATGGTAACAATAGTTATTTGAGTTACTGCTGCCTGCCTTCAGCTTGAAGCAGTTTGCCCAAAATAAAATCCTCCAGAAAACTGCTGCTCACTGGATATTTTCCCGATGTGGGGAAAATCCCAGCAGTTTCTGTAACAATTATACCAGTGTCAGTTTAAACTTCAGTAGGTCGTCTTGATCACGTCCACATGAATAAATGTGTTGAGCTGCTGCCATGTGATTGGCTGATTAGATTTACAAGCAGTTGATCAGGTGTACCTGGTAACCTGTCGGTCAACAGGTGAATGGTTTGTATTTTATAGAGCACCTTTTTCTTTTTTGTAAGAATGAGTTTCTATTTTAATGAAAAGGGTAAATAAACTTTGTCTTCGTGGAAACTATAAAGTTTTCTGAAAAGTCTGTCTGATTCTAAAATCGAGGACTTTTGTGAGCTTCATGACAGCTAACAAGTGGAGCTCAACAACCTGACAACAAGCAAAACCTGCCGAGAACAAATCACACATCAGTCCTCGTGTGCAACTTGAATCTTTTTTTTTTTAATTTAAAACAAATTTTAATCTTTACAGGTTTTATTTTTAATATACAATCAAACAATTGTTGCAATCATACATGAAATTTATTATAGTAATGCACAACTCTATCCAGACTACCCATAAATAAAAAAAAAGAGAAACAAAAAAAAGAAAAACATCAAGATCAGTATGAAACACAACGTTAGGCAACACCACAGGTAACAAAGACGATCCTGTCACACCACAGCAGGACAGTCACTGCAATGCAAAGACGGACACAGGAACACACACACCTCACTTCATTTCCCTTCATCGAGTGATGACGTTTGATTAAAAAAAAGAGGGAGCAGAGAGATCGGGGTGTGAAAAGCCTAAAGAAAAAACAAAACAAAAAAAACTTGTGCCAGGCACTTGGCAGACGTGGGGAGAAAAAGAAACCTGGTGTGATTGAAAGCGACAGACAGTTGCAGCCAGATGTTCTGCAGTATTATCCTCTACAACCTTGAAAACAATGCAGGGCAAAAAGCAAGCTTCATCCGAGGCGTTAGTGACATGTTAGACCCAACAAACACGCGTGGATTTAAGGTGGCGGCAGCTTTGGATCAGAGTACAAACTCTATATAAAAATCTCTCAAACTCCAACAACTGTAGTGCAGATAAAGTTGAATGGTTTTTAATTACCGTCTGCTGGCTTCATCTTCTAAAACGTGACAATTTACAGCTTCACAGCCTCTGAATGTTGGGACGAAGCACGTTTATTAAAAACACTGAGAATCTGTGGATCAAAGCATCGATCACGGAGTGCTGATCAGTTGATCTCTCTTTCTGTCAGTCTTTGTTGTGTAAATGAGTTTGGAGTGTTGAACGCCACCTGTGGGGGCTCAGACGATCAACTTTTACATATTCTATAATTATAAAAGGCGGGCTGAAGGTACGCGAGTCATGTTACTGATGAAGTTACTGATCACTTAAAGCAGACTTTGGAAATGATTGGAGAGCAATAATCTAAAGGTCACATGGGGAGAAACAAACTGCGATTCCACAAAACTCAACCTTTTTCCCTTCCTTTTCTCTCGCTCTGTCTCACACACACACAGACACTCTCTGTCTCACACACACACACAGACACACACACAGCACAAACTGGCTCAGAAATGGACGCACAGAGATCTTCACTTCTTCCCTCCTCACTGGGAACACGTTTGTTCTTGAAATACAGTACCGTCCTCTCTTCCTCGCACTCTCTCACACACACACACACACACACACACACACACGTCTCATTTTCACATGACCCAGGGAAGCAGCAGCGTGCCATGATGCGATCACAAGAGGCTGCCGTGTTTTCGGGGTGAGGAGCGTAAGATCATCCCCTCACTTCCGATGATAACCTGGCTGGAATGTAGTGGTGCTAACGACACGCACACACACACACACACACACACACACACAGACACACACACACACACACACACACACACACACACACAGACACACACACACTTCACAGGTAAACAAGGTAATCTTCTGCAGGACGGACAGCTCAGGTGTGCGCAGGGGTGAGGGAAGTGAGTTGTTTTTATGTTGCTTTTTGTTTTAAACTTTATTTAAACGAGAGCCTGGAGGCTTCAAGGTCCCTCATCGCGTCCCTCATCAGCGGTTCATCCTGACCTTTGACCCCAGCCAGGCGGCATCCACCACAGAGGAGGGAGACAGTACAAGGGGGTGAGGCACGTGTAGAGTGCAAACGGGCGTAGCTGTACAGGTTTAGGGAGTCTTTTGTGTGTGTGTGTGTGTGTGTGTGTGTGTGTGTGTGTGTGTGTGTGTGTGTGTACAGCATGCATGAGTGAGGTGTCTGCGAGTGCAAAAGTGTGTGTGTAAAAAGTGCATTCCTTGTGTGTGTGCGTGCCTTCGACCCGTGACCTCATCGTGTCCTCGGCAGCCGGACGATGAGAACAAAGTCTCGTGTCATCGTCTTCTCCTCGGGTGGCCTGAAAGTCTCTGGAGGCCTCAGTCAGTCAGTCAGTGAGGTTCAGGGTCTACAGCTGAAAACTAAAAACGAACAAACAAAAACGGGGTCCGCGTGTCAGAGACTGGAGCCGTTCAGGAGGCACACCTCTTCCTCCTCCTCCTCCTCCTCCTCGTTGCCCCCTCCACCCCAGCCGTCCTGGAAAGAGCGGATCAGTTGAACATGATGGACTCTGGATCCTGATTTGCCATTTGAGCCATGTGACGAAGGATATCTTTTTTTGTGATAATACCAAGAAGCCGCCTGCAGAGGGAGACAAAGAGGGACAGAAGCATGAGGAGGTGGTGGTGGTGGTGGTGTTGGTGGTTGGCAGCTGAAGTAAAGCAGGAAACAATAAAAACATCATGTTTTTGTTGGCAAAAACAGAATCGCATGGTTTAATTTTGGCTCTGGTATGACATTAATTATATGAATCTGTGTCAGAATGAGGCCAACAAAAGCACGAGTCCCTGAGGAAGCAAAAGTCAGCAGCAGGAGGTGGAAGAGGAAAAAGGCAGGTGAGAAACAGCACCCAGCTTCCCCCGCTTCAGACCCCTGCCACGGCCGTTTGAGATTTGCTGCTGAGCAAAAGGAGGAGCTGGATCCTTCAGAGGAGACAGGAAGCAGTGAACAGGAGTAAAGTCAGAGGAGCAGAGGAAGAGGCGGTGCCCATCACAGGAGTCGGGACATTTCTATCTTTTACCTTTTCTTTTTATTCAGTCCAATTTAAAGCTTTTGCAGTAAGATCAGACAGCAAACATCACAGTGATGTGCAAAAGTCTCAAGCCAGCATCACTTCTTTATATTTTGTTTCCAAGCAGTCCGGCTTTTGTATTTTTTAAAGTGCTCTTGAGCAACAGTTCTCCAGTCTTTTTTGAAGGACTTTCAAAGTTTTTCATTGGATGCTTTTTCACTCATTTTCAGTCCTTGTACTTGACCATTTTCACAGGAATGCTTTGTTCGTTGGGCTGCGTAACACTGGTTCATCCTTTGATATTTTACAGGTTCATGATGTGCCTACACGTAATTGACAACTTGTATCTTTAGACACTTTGTTACTGCCTGTCACAAAAACACATCAATTGCTCCTGTTCTTTAAACCTGTGAGAAATATTTCTAATGTTTGACATTTTTCAAAGTGCTTTCTGTAACATCATTTTCATAATACGAAGCCCTGAATGTCTGACAGGTGACAGAGTCCCCGTTGGTAACCAGGCGACAGTGTCACATTAAAGGGCCGTTCACACAGGAAGTGACTCACATTAAAGCATCATTGGTTGCTAGTGGAGAGTCCAAGCTCCAGTTGCCAAGGTAACCCTCTAATCTGTTTACCACTCTGTCATATATCAATCAGCAGTGCACTTCACCCTCATTTCTAGTCGATCGCCTCAAAGATTAACTCTCGACAGACCCGCTTTGTGTCGCCAGCGGTTATATCGCTCGCATGAAGTCAGTCATCATGGGTCTGTGGAGATGAACAACATTCTGACTCGAATTTCATTAAAAATGTAATCATGTTTATTTCAGATTGCTAAAAAACTTAATGGTGAAGGGTTTGAACTGTGTAGAGCCAGAAAGTCTACATCGCCCAGTCGTTGTACAGAAAAACATTCAAAGTCTGTTTTTTAGTGTGAAGTTCCACATTTTAGGATTTATTTTCCCTTCCAGGTTGCATTTCTGATTTCTCTTTTCCTGAAAGTTTCCACAAAACACAGGTGGTTTCAAGTTGTGATAAATTACAGCTCATTTCATAATCATGTTTCAATAGCGATTTCTGACTCCTGTGATGAATCTACCTCGCAGCACTACGGAGCACTTTCTCTCTGTATGACACTGTAAAGGATTTAGTCAGTCAGCTGGGGCCATTAAGGACTAACACGGCAGCTTTTTAAACATCGGCGACGCTCCTGCTGACTGCAGTGAGGTCAGGTGAAGAGGAGAAACAGCTGAGAGCAGTGAGAAGAAGAAGCAGTGAGCTATGTGACTCCTACAGAGCTCAAATCATGTAGAGCTGGGTCCAAAGAGCTCAGTGTGCTTTGTGTTAATGCAGTCAGGTGACCACAAGGAGTTCATGCGTTTATGATTAATCGTGATCTTCAGCTGCGTTTTGACCCTAGAAGGCAAATAATTGAAAGCGAACCCAGGTCTGAGTGGGTGGAGCTGAGGTACCTGTGGAGGGCGGAGGTGTGAAGCAGCAGTCACACAGATCAGACCTGGGTTCCCCCGCCGGCCGATCAGACCGGCAGCAGAGGCTCGGGAAGCCAGGTGCAGATCAGAGTGGGTCAGGTGAAGAGTGACCACAATGTTTCCAGTTAAACCAGCAGTGACCTGCCCCAGCTAATTTCAGGTAAAAATCTGGGCCAGGAAGTGAGCGTAGCACCACCTGCACTAACATTACAACACATTAATAATAAAGCAGCCTGTAACTGTGCTGTACACCTGACTCTTCTCTGCATGCACAGCAAGGTCATAAATCTGTGCTGCAGACCGTCATTATTCCTCTGGTGCTGATACACGAGTGTGCGAGCTGCAGTTTACGTGTGCAGCCATGTTAGCTGATAAACGAGCCCTCCATCCTTTCGTCCACACTCGGACGTTTCTAACGTCTGATATGATGGCACCAAAAATACTGAAGCTTCAAAATCTGGCAACAGAAGCAGATGGGTGGTGTCACAGTAGCTGATGTAGCCATGTTGCTTATTACAGATTATTATATCAACTGGAGCTTGTGCAAATGGTGTTTTTTGTGTGTTTCTAATGACAATATACACAATTTACTTATAATTTACTTTGAAAGTTTCTATTTTCCTTCCTATTGCTTCTCATAATCGTGCTTTTTTAACATTTACTCCAGAGTATATTCTAACACCTTCTCCATGTCTGCTGTGGGCCCACACGCAGAAGGCGGGACACTGCTGGCTCAGAGGAAACATCGGCAGGTTAAAGAACAGGATTAGTAATCACTTCATAAAAGGAATCATGTGATCATCGCACGCTAGCTACATAAGCTACAGCACTACTGGCACCAGTCAACACAACATCGTCACTCCACCACGCGCACTACCACTACAGGATGAGGGGGATTATAGGAATGAGTCGCATCACTACAGATTGCCCCCCTCCCTCCCTCCTACTAACATCCCCCCCCCTTCAATCTTTAAAAGGACTAAAGCAACGGTGGTCCGCTTTCCCAAGGCGGCTAACTACTCGCCCAGTCGTTGCACAGGTGACGGCTCACATGTCGTTGATCTGTGGAGCCCCCGGGGCGGTTGTGGTCGAGAGGGGAGGGGTTTTAAAAAAAAGGGGGGGGGGAGGGAAAAAGCAGTCGTTAATGAAAACAGAAAACTTTGGGAGGCTGAACTTGAAATGACTTCTGTTGTGAGGGGGAGATGGGAAACACACAACAGGCTTCACGGTTACACGACTGCACACATGCTGAGTGTCTCTGATCACACAGTCAGCCAGGAACACAACAGGGTGCTGTGAGTGAACGGGGCTAGCACGAAACAGCTACTGTGTGTACAAATGCAGGTCGATGGGATGAACTCTGCTCTGTGGGAATCTACTGAGCCCCTTTCAGACACCGTCAGCAGCACTCGTCACACGTCTGCTAAACTACCGTTTATTTTTAAAAACCAGGAAATCACTGTTTCAGTTAATATCAGTCAATTTATGTTAAACGTCTTTTACTGAATAGTGTTGAAAATCTCAAGCCGTGTGAAACAAAATGTCCATGAAAAGCAAAAGAGTGCATCTGAATCTGGATTAGTGACGGAGAACTGTGCATAAAATCCAGAGATTTACAGCGACTACAACGTGCCATCATTGTTCATCACACACAATCACTAGCTCAGCCTGCTTTATAGCCTGAAGTATCTCAGTTATCAGGCACAGTGTTAGTTTATGACTCACTTCTGTTTGCTTACACACTCCATGCAAACTGCAGCTTTTAAGTGGTGCGTGTGCATTAACGCACTTTATGGATGCAAACAGTTTTAGGGAGGGCGATGCTCGTTATCTTTACTATCAATTAATACTTAATGGACACCGTTTTTTCTAGACCAATATTAAAACGTGTAACAGAGTTTGTTTACTCTGATGCAGCTGCTCAGGTGCGCGCTCAGAGGCTCTGGTGGTTTCCCCACTAATGTGTTTGAAGTTGAAGGTTTTGAGTGTAAGAGGCATATCTGATCAAATCAAGGCCCTGATCATGCTACAACCTGGCTCGATGAATATCTTCAGGTTCTCAGTAAACTCTGATTTATGTCCCAAACTAAACACACAGTTAAGTCAAAGGACAGCAAAAAGGAAGTTCAGGCACTAAATGTAAGAGAGGCAGCTTTATCCACCTGCCACGAGGCTCTGTTTGACTCCAAAAAGCAAAAACAAGAAAGCCACAGAAAGAGAAGAGAGTCATTTAAATTAAATAGCCATGCAGCTGAAACACAGTGTGCTTCTCCTTGAGACAAATATCAAAGTAATGGAGTTGAAAGCAAAGATAAGCTTTGTTTTCATGTGCAGCTGGTTTTATGCCACAAAGCTGGGCTGTACGGCGCAGAAAAACTACATGATGACAGATTCTTTACTTTTCAACTGAAGCTTCCTCCATCATCAAAAATCAGTCATTTTTTCCCTTTTACATCAGGATACAGTCTAGTTTTATTAAATGCTTCGCACTACCAGAAGCTACTGTTGTCATGAGTTTGAGATGTTTATGTGCTGGACTAAACCAGAGTTATGACGGTTTTGTGTTTTCTGATTAGTTTCAGCGTCGACTTCAGTTTAGTTTGTTCTGTTGTGTTTTAGTTTAGCTGCCGTTAGTCATAACGCTCAGTTTTAATTTTATGAGTGATTAAAATACTGAAGTTTAACTGTCAGCGGTGAGATTGAGCATTTTCCTTTGTTTTTTAAGTAAAATTAATAATATTAGTTCATTCTTTGTGTTTTTTGCTGCTTTTAAACTACTTTTAGTTTTTATTAACAATATTATTAACAATAACCTTGAACTAAGCATTTTAACGGTTATTAGACTTTTTCCTTGAGGACCAAATGACAAGTTTGATGAAGGCTGTGTTGTTTGTATTACAGGACGTCAATAAACTCTGTTGTCCAGTTTCTCAGACATGAGAAGCTGCCATGCCTGAGCAGCTGAGCCTTTGTCTGGCCCTTCGTGTGACTCCTTCTGCGTCCAACACGAGTCACAGTAAGCGCTGAAGCTCGTGTCTGAAAGGGGCTCTGAACTGATGTGGGCGACAGTTCCCATCGAGGTCCAACATTACAGGACCAGCCTAATGCTTCTCTACGCGATGTCTCCGAAACTGCTACAGCTACCATGAAGATGGAGGTCAGACTAGTCTGTCTACGCATGTTTGGCTTCATTAGAGGTAAATCCACAACAAACAAACCCAGGAGCAGAAAAGTGCTTGAAGTAAGGAAGAGGGCAGGAAGTCTGGATGTTTTAGCCGGGAACTGCCATCAGCTTTTCACACTACACTTCATGCATCCCCCCCTCCCCTCCCCTAAGAGGCAGAGCCTAAGAGACAGGTGCAAAAAAAAAAAAAAAAAAGGTGGGGGAACAGATCACGTGTGAAAGGGGCGGGGCTAGTCACCAGGGGCGGCGTGTGCTGCTTGAGCTCCTCCAGATGCTCTAATATATTCTTCTTAGTGATGATGCCCAACACAATCCTGAAACACACACCTGTTACTCAGCAGACTGCCCAAAACAACAACAACAACAGACAGACACAGAGAGAACACACAGCAGCAGTACACAATAAACACAACAAAAAATACAACTCAAAACTAACAAAACTAAACAAGCAAATACAACTAAAGTTATAAATGAAGTCAAAGTGTAATGATAAAAGAATAACGGTTTAATTACTCATAATATGACTGATTCTTCTGTCAACAAATCCCATGAAGAGGGATTTTACACTCATCTGCCACTTTATTAGGTACACCTGTTAGACTGCTCGTGGCACTGCCATCCTGGATGTGCAGCAGACAGATGTGCAGCAACTGTGTGAACGTCTCATGTCAACATGGACGAAAATGTCTGAGGAATGTTTTAAACACCTTGTTGAAGAATTAAAGCAGCTGTGAAGACAAACCTGGGTCCCACCCAGTACTAGCCAGGTGTACCTAATAAAGTGTACAGTGTCTTTTGTAAGCTGTAAAAAAGATTACGTTACAGCAGAGTATCAGACAGGTGCATTAAATGACTTTAGGTTTATCCAACGCGAATGTAAGAATCATTAAGAACCAGCATTTATTAGCAGCTAATAATAATCCAACCAATGAACCTAATCCCTCTAATCTCCGTAGGATTGCTCAGTGTTTTATAAGTACTTGTTTTTCAATCATTGTGTAACGTTGTTCTTCTTCATACGTATAAAGGAGGCCTTGCTCCTTCCTTACTCTTACAGGAGTGAGTGTTCATATTAAACATTTTAAATTATGAGATAAGTGTGTGACTCTGAGCCACAAACTCAGCATTCGGACTGCTCTATGTGCTCAGTTCTTTCTGTGTTTTGCTCTGTATGACATCACTGTCTATCACTAAAACAGTCATCTCAGGAACTCTGAGCAAATCCCCTGCTGTTCAAACCTTCTGCTTAGGAGGGGCAGCCAATGAGAAGGAAGCTGGCTAAAGTAGCTGCCTATATTCAGGTGGATGAAGACCCAGTATCAGGTAAATACAGATTATTCTGAACTATTAATCAAGCAAAGCTACTCTAGCAAAGCCCAATAACAATAGAAGGAAATATCGTAATAAATTTACATCTTTAAATCATCCTGAACCTCCTTCATGACTGACAGTTTAGGTCTTTTCATGAGATTTGTTGACAACAACAAAAATATGAAAAATAAAAAAAACTAGTGTCATTATTTAAGAAAGAAATAAAAGGTTAATCCTAAAAAAGGTAAATGAAACAAACACTGCTGCACAGTTCCTCTCCAGTGATCATCACAGCAAATTAACACGGTCTGTCTCGTAGTTTCAACATCGCACATCTGCAAAGACCCAAACAGACCGGATCTCCTGCAGGCGTCTCCACACGTGGACGAGACTTTACTTTTAAATTAGTTTCACTGAAGGTTTCTCGCGGAGGTAAAACCTTTAACGTTCCTCCTCAGATTCAGACCACACATCAGCTCCTCTTACTGTCTATACTCCCACTGCGTGACACCTGTTATGTGTTTGTGGTTAGTTTCCGTCAGCAGCTCAGCCTCTCCTGTAAAGGAGACCGTCACTGCTCACCGGGAGGATAAAAGGAGGTGCAGCACAGCGATTAGGCCAGGCCATGCAGATTACAGCATAAATCCAGGGATCCCAGAGCTCATGCAACACCAGACAGTGTGTGTGTGTGTGTGTGTGTGTGTGTGTGTGTGTTAAGCAATCACTACACCAGAAACAACGATGTGAGACGGATCCACCTTCAGCTCCTACAGCACCTCCTTCCTTCCGAGACACACTTACCCGTTGTGAGTAACCAGGCACTGGCGCAGACCCAGCTTCCTGAAAATGTCCACCACGATCTCCATGGGGGTGTGGTCAGTGACGGTGAAGGGGCTCATGTCCAGGATGGAGCGAAGCTTGAGGGGTCGAGGGCTGTCGGCAGGCAGCGTGGGTGCATGCTGGGTGAAGTACACCCTTGAGTTCAGCACGATGCCCTCCTGTTTGCGGCGTGCGTTCTCTGTAGAGATATGAAAAGCATTCACTTTACACCATCTTTAAACTCCAGAAGGTCACGGGGGGTTCAGGTGTTGTCTCTCCAGTCTTACCTATAGCGATTGTGATGTCTCTGCGCAGAGCGAAGCCCACTAGCCTCTGGGACTCCTTAGACACGATCACAGGGAAACCATTATAACTGGTTTCATTGATAATGCCCTGCAGCTCCTCCACAGTCAGGTCGTCCTGCGTGAGCACTGCCAACGGCGGGTCGTTGCGTCGGGGCCTCATCACCTCCCGGGCCAGCGTGGTGTGCGTGAACTCCTCCTTTGAATCCAGGAAGGGGTATCCGTTCAGTCGGATGTGGGCCTCGTAGATTCCCTCTCGACCGAATGCATCGCCCACCCATTTGCTGGTCATCACGGCGGCCATGAGGGGGACGATGTACTCCAGCCCGCCGGTCAGCTCGAACACGATGATGACGAGGGAGACAGTCATACGAGTCACTCCACCTACAGAGGGAGGAAGGCGTGACAGTAACACGTATTAAACTACGACTCCAACTAAACAAGTGTTTATTTCTATAACAGATGAGGCAAAGCTACACATCCCTGATCACATGTTACTCACAGTGAGTAACATGTTCTGACACAGCCAGTTATTGCAATAGCAGCAGGATATCTCATATATGCTCATCACCCGCCCCTCGGTGCTGAAACGTGAAGGCTTTGGCACAAACTGGTGGCAAAGCTTAACAATCCCATTAAGTGCTGACTCACCCAGGCACGCTGCAGCTCCCACCATAGCGTAGAGCCCTGGAGTGATGCAGTCAGCTCCGACTTCGCACCACTCTTTGAACAGGAACCAGTCGTGGTGATAATATGCAAGCTGCTCCATGGCAATGCCAACAATCCGCCCCGCGATCGCCCCGATGGCCATGCTGGGGATGAACAAACCCGACGGTACCTAACGATGAGAAAGGAACATGTTTCAGTGCTGATGAAGACTCGCAGGGCAAAACATCTGCTTCATTATTAAGGAAAAAAATCTCTCACCTTGAGTCCAAATGTGAATATAGTCATGATGATTTTAAAGATGAGCGCCAGGCACAGCTGCCACATGGCCGAGTAGACGCCGGGCCCCGCCGGCTGGTCATCAGAGAAGGCTTTGGTGCCGTTCATCTGGCTGCGGTACTGACAGAGCTGCGAAGACTCCAGCGGACCGCAGTCGGTGAACAGCTCCTTTATCAGCTCGCTGGTGTTCTTACGCGTGTAAGGGTTTGGGAAAGCAACCACCGCAGTGATGGCCGCCACCAGGATCACCTCCAACACCGGGTACCTGCCTACAGAGCGAGACAGAGGTTTGTGTGAAACGCCTCAAATGCAGATTAAACACTGTTGCTCTGCTTCATGGAAAGATGCTTTTATACATTTGATTTTAAGAAAAGAGGATTTTAAAATTCAGACACGGCACTGTGGACTCACTAAAATCATAAAAAGCACATGAGAGGAGAGTATCGACTGATAGAAACAGTCTTTATTCCATTTCACTTTTTTCCACCATTAAGCTCTCAGTAAAAGTTTTAAATAGTGAGGTCACCACGAGGTCACATCATACCGAAACGTGTCGACTTGCGCCGCCGGCACCAGGCGATGTTGGCTTTGATGAAGAAGGCGCCCCAGAGGCCCCCGAACACTCCCAGCAGGATGAACGGGAGGAGCTCAAACAGGTACCATGGCGTGTGGTACTCCACGTAGAACAGCACCAGGCGGCTGTTCCCAAACGGGTTAATGGAGCGAAGCACGAAGGCCGCCACCAGGGCCGCAAAGAATGAGCGCCACAACGTCTTTAGAGGGAAATAGTAGCTCACCTGAAGGAGCGAGGAGAGCATTGGTGGATTAATACTGTTGCTGTTACCATCACATTAAAACAACACCACATAGTAACTTGTTTAAGTGCTGATGCACCTCCTCTAAGCTGAAGAGGACTCCCCCGATTGGTGCTCCAAAAGCAACAGACACCCCGGCAGCTGACGCGGCAGAGAGAACCTGAGAGCACAAAACAAACACACCTCAGCACCAGCGCCGGGCTCGTTCACACAGGCACAAACTACTAAAAACACTCCTACGTATTAAACATTTATTACTCGTGCTACAGGGACCTGGACTTTTTTGCTCTCACCTCTCGTTTCTTGGCCTCGTTCTTGCTGTACTTGGGGAAGAGGTAGGAGAAGATGTTCCCACAGCAGCAGGCCACATGGACCAGGGGGCCCTCTTTCCCCAGGCTCAGGCCCGACGCCACAGCCAACACCAGAGTGATGGTTTTGATCATCAAGGTCCACTTGCCCAGATATCCCCGGATGATGAACCCACTCAGGATGGTCTTGATCTATGGCAGAGGCAGGAGTGAGGAAAGCGAGGTGCTCAGGATCAGACACGTAAACACATGAAAGTTAAAATGAAATAATGACATAAATTCACTGGGTTGTTAGTTGAGCTGCATCTCTGCTTTCAGGTCATTGTCTAACACGTGCCGCTTTTGTGTTTCCATGGCAACAAAGAGCCCCCCCCCCCTTTTTTTTTCTTAGCAGTAAAATATTTCACATCTCCCAGCTGAATTAATCATTTTTAAGTGCTTCAGTACATTAAAAGATCCTGAAACCCATCAGACTCTTTCACAGAGTCACCGGGAGACAAATCGATCACCCAGCGAACAGTCGAACAACATTTCCCATTTAAGAGTTCAAGGATTTCCTTCATACACATCGATGTATCACCAGAAGAGGTTAAAATGAAGAAAGTTTCAGCTGTACCAGGACTTACAAAAGCAATGTTTTCCTCACCTCTGGGATCCCTGAGCCGCAGGCGTACGGCGCAAACACCTTAACCAGACAAACTGCCAGGAAGGCGAAGGACAGAGCCCAGTAGATGTACATGAAATAGTTCATGATGTACGAGCCGGGGCCCTGCAGAGAGGGGCGGATGAAGAGGGAGGGAAAAGTTAAAGAGTGGAAGAAAAACGTCCAAACCTTCAATAAAAAATTAAAAAAAAACTCGTGTGGACGCCTGAGACTACGTCTGCCCTTATGTGTCAGTGTCACTGCAGTCAGCTCATGAGAAAAGGTGCAAAGCTTTTGCAAACTGTCTACTTTTTAATTGAAATTTTTTTTTTTAGATGAATTTGAACAACAAGGGTTTTATTTTTGCATCGTTGCTTAGAAGCCGTAGCCTCTTGGTCTCACTGCAGTGACGAATACGTACTGCAGAAAATGTCTGGTTTTAAATCGACAGCATGCGCTCCCTTTCATGTGCCCGTGTTCCTCTACCTCAGCCTGCCCCAGTATTAGCTCAGCCCAGCTCTTCCACTGAGGACACTTGTCCCTCTCAGCGAAGGTGGTCTCATTGGACGTCCAGCAGCACTGCTCGTGGTTGAACCACAAGGCGCTCAGACACACGCCCTCCTTCAGGTCGTTCATCCAATCAGCAGCAATGTCAATCAGGCCAGCCAAAGCACCTGGCGGGAGGAGGGAACCAGGAAAGGAAAGGAAATAAAAGGGCAAAGAAGTGAAGGCAGGGACGAGTGGGAAAGGTGAAGAACAGAAAAACAGAGAGAGAGATGAGTTCCTAACTACACTACCAGGCTTACTACCTGACAAAGATGTTTTCAGGTGATTTAACAATAATTCTGAGAAACATCCTCACTGAATATGAACCTAAACGCACACTAGAAAACTCTGCAGCAAATCTTCACATTAGACGATCTTCAGCTCTCAATGCATAAATATTACAGCACAAAAATCAGTGTCTGACTTAAACAGCAAAGCTTCTTTCGGCTGCTCCTTTATTCACAAACCTTGCCACAGTGGAAAGATTCACATGTTTGATCTGACAGATGTTTAATGCCTGATACCTGGATATCCTGATACTGGGATCTGGGTCTCCTCCTGTTCTCTAACCAGTGACCTTTGGCATGTAAGGGGACTGTGTGGCTGACATTTTCATATCAGATGGATCTTTGTAAACATCACAGGCTCGCTGACCTTCACGTGAGTGAGTGCAGCCACATTTCTAGATTTCTACATATTATTACCATCATTTTATCTGCCTACTTCTCCCACAACCTGTCAGTTTTTTGGGGAGAGTGGGGAAAAGGCCTGTTGGTGTGATAAAGATAATGGAAAGTGGTATCTGTAAGTTTATCAGTAATAATTATCTCATTTCAAAAGGCTGTATTTTATGAAGTAATGGACATTTTAGGCCCTAAAACAGCTCAGTCACCCCAGTTTTAAATCTATATAATGTGATATCACAGTGCAGAGCTTCTTTTACACAAAGAGCCCAACAGGCATACTCATTTTACTCATTTCTCCCCTCTGTAGCCTGGACCTTTTCATAACTACTCCACTTTGACTAGCTCAGCTAGAAAAAGATTTTCTGTTATTTAGTGGCCATAAAACACACACGGCGAGGATTTCATGGCTCTGAGATGTGTCACGTGGGGCTCTGCAGGAAGAACAGTGTGCTTATAAGAGGTGGGTGAGCGAAAGCACAAGACAGTGAACAAGAGAAAGACTGAGTGTGAGCTGCCTGAGGCAAAGCATGTGAGAGTCACCGGCAGGGCAGATAAGAGCTGTGTGCACTTTAGTACCACATGTATGTTACCTGATGCCAAGCCAGTGAGCGTCACCACCAGCCAGCCGGACCAAGCGTCGTACAGGCTCTTGGTGAACTCCCATGCAGACTCCTTTTTCTTACTATTGATCTGTATCAACACACACAAAAGACTCAATAACAAGCATCGATGGCTAAAAATAAAACTATTAGATCAACTTACAGTGAGATTCATGCAAGTGAGGGAAAGGTTAACAATACCTCATCAGCCTTTTACAGCTGAGGGGTAAAAACAGTGACCTTCAGTGACAATACACCACCTCTACAGCCATGATTTCCACTGTTGCCTCAATATAACAGTCAGCTGAGGGGCGGAGAACACCGGGTATGCGAATAACATTCAGATTGTCCTGCAGCGTCTTGCAGTAAAACACTTGGATAAAAGTGTTGGCAGACCCGAAATGTGCTCATGACCAACTGAAGGGCCGTAAAATCTCCCACACACTTAGCCCATGAATGCTAGTGGTGGATAAGAAACTGATCTCTTAATTTATAATTTGGAAACTGTGGTCGAGTTTGTATAAATGAAAAACATTATAAGACGGGATCATTTTTGTTGGAAAAGTGTTGTTTACCCTCTCTGTTAAGCCATCAGAGCAGTAGGTGCTGATCCTACCTGACATTTCTTTCTTTTATGTGACCCAAACAAACTGTTTATACAACAGGAAGTGCATAACACAGTGGTGGGAAATGTATTTTTTTCTTTAAATTAAGTAGGGCTGTTTGTGGCCCGTGAAGAAAAATATTTTCTTTACAAAATATTAAAAGTATTTTTCTGTCTCTGGGTCAGCTTCGGTCTCTGTTCGAAGCTGAAAAGTGGCTGGTTTGTAGCTGGTTTGGCGTCGGGGTCCTCACCTTCCGGTGTCTCTCGCGGTCCTTGCACTTCTCACGGACCCAGTCGATGGTGTGAAAGTCATCGTAGGTCCCAACACCAGGGATGGGCTCCTCTAGGAAGTCCAGCAGGTGGGTGGAGCTGCTGGGAGCCCCGCCCCCGTTCGACATGGCGTAGTTAGATCCTGAAGAAAAAACAACAAGCACAAGTTCACGGTCCAATTTTTTAAAAGAAGACTATTGACATTTAAAACATATTTGAAAGAGTAAAAAACAAGAAATATGATTTTTTTCCCCACAATGTATGAAACCAGAAGGCTGTGTGAGCAGGCTTACAGTGTTACACCATACATCAGTCTGATGACTTTTCAAACGATACATTTTGGCAGTTTATACTTCTGATTCTTACACATAATCCTTGGAAAAGAAAGAAAGAGATCCATCACAGTGCTGCCTCGGCTGCATTAGAGTTACACCTCCTCCATAATCGAGCCCCATCACAAGCACCGCAGAGATCACTGCACGTCCATCACTGAGATCTAATGAGACTGCTGGAAACACTGCAGCCCATCACCTCATGTGGAACAAAACCCATAACTAATCATAACAGCTTACCTCTACAAACTAGATGTAACCATTAAAGGCCATTACATTTTAAATATATTTATGTATGTTTAGGTTTGCTTTGAGGGTAAAAGCCATTTTGAATTCTGCTTCACTGGTCCACAGGCTGCAGGACCATGTGACTCCCTTCAGGCCAAATAACCACTTCTATCTTGTAAGTAATGACTTGAACATGACTTGGATTATTATCAGGAAAAATTCATTAATGATAAGCGAAACAGCAGCAAACATTGTTAGCCGAATACTATATGAATACCCATATAGTATTCAGAGATGGGCTGATCCTCTCATTCTGTGCAATGACTTTGCTCATTATGCTGGGACGAGACGCCGGCAGTCATTGGTTAGGTCTGACCTGCTCTGGCAGGACGGACATGCTCAGTATGAACACAGAACAAAACATACTGAGTCATCTGCACACACAGACGCACACACATCAGGGCGAGTTGAGGGGCCGATTCTCTGCTTCTTATCTGAGAAGCATCACAGGCTTTACACGGCTGACATTTCTCTTTGCTGCCTGAGGCGGCGGCGTGATGAGAAACGATCTCTGATGTACAAGAGCGACCTGTGGGAGACTTAAAAATCCCTCCACAACATCCGTATAATGCAGCAGGTTTCCTTAAGAGCGCCATTTAGTTTGTTTAACTTGGGACAAAGCCTGTTTGAGAAATCAGAGAAAAGTCCATCCTCTGACATTTGAAACTGTCAGCAAATCGAGCCCGAGCCTCCTCCTTCAGATGACACAAGTATTCATCTGAAAACAAAGACTGAACTGTGCGCAACAATCAGATTAAATGACACAACAACAAGGCCTGCAAATCCAACAAGTATAGCTCATTTCTCCTGTGTGGGGACAGTCAACAATATGAGATTAATGAACAAATAAGAACATGGGTGTAATTACTGCGTGTGTTAAAACCAACACCACCAAAGCAGACAGTAAGATGGCTCACAAGTCCTACCTGACCCAGCTGATAATGACGGAGACAAAAGATCCAATGTTTGTATTTTACTGTCTTTAACAGATGAGCAGCTAAACCAGGACATCTTCATAAACAAGGCTTTCAGATATTTTACTGGGACATCTAAGCAAAAAGGCTTTTTCAGATCTTCATGCTGAGCTCGTTTAATACTTTGGTGCTCTCTGAGCTTAGAGATGAACACGCGGAAATACAAGATAGTCATCTTCAGAAAGTTACTCACAGGAAGTAACAAGGCTGCATGTGAGTGCAATGACACTTTCTAATATTTAGACAACTTTAAAAGACTATTTTATAAACAAACCTCACAAGTTCTGAATAGGAAACTAGAGCAGGGTCAGCACACTGTGATGAACTACTAGTAGAGCTACACTCTACTAGTACTCTACTACTAGTAGCTCAGCTTTTGCACAGTCTTCTTTTTTTACTCAAGTCCAATAAAGAACAGAATGAGCTCCCTAAAGGATTAAAAACATGGATAGATTTTCATATTTATATCTCCTGACACACACACACACACACACACGTTCAGCTTTCTCTCTTTTATTGACATAATGCTTTCCCTAGCCCCTTACCCTAACCATTACAAATGAATGCCTAACCCTAACCATAACCTAATTGTAACCCTGACACTAAAACCCCATTTTGAGCCTCAAAAATGCCTTCAAAAATGTGAGGACCAGGTTGTGTGTCCTCACAAGTGACTGCTGGTTCTCACAAGTACATTAGAATGCAGATTTTGGTCCTCACAAAGATAGCTAGACAGGAACACACACACACACAAGCCAATTCCCAGAAGCCATACTTGTCAGTATTAATTAGATGCACAGTCACCCTGACTGAAATAAAAGCGCTGCAAACATGGAAGGATAAAAAAGAAATCCCTGCAGTTCCTCTTCTGGCCACTTGAGGCAATTTCCAAAAACGAGCCAATCATGCCATGACACCACTGTTTTTGCGCACAGTCCCTGAGACAAAGAGTAAAACTAAACTAAATAACTGTGTCAGAAGTTTACAACACAAATTATAATTGTTTTATTTAAGTATTTAGTAAGATATGCAAATATAATATCAGATAAATTTACCTTCAATAAAAAGAAACAGCCTACAGTAGAAACAGCATTTCATTATATGGTACCCACACACAGAGAGAAGTATAAATACAGTATAAGTGCCAAACCAGTCAAAACATACAACGGGGTAACTCTCATGACCTTCAGTACAGGAAACACATCCATTCCAGGCACCACAACAAAACTCCTCTTTACATTTTTAATATCTTGAGAAACTAAGAATGAACGCGGCTTATCACACAAAGGTTTGTTCATCACTGTGACCTTAAGTGGTTGGGATCATTAAAACAGATCATGAAACACATCCTCATGTTGTCCTCTGCATTCCTACACAGCCACATCATTAACTACTACTGCAGGGGGGTAACGTCAAAATCTTTCTGAGACATTAGTCCAGAGTAAAGCCCGATTCCCACAGACCTGAACGGGGCCGTAACAGAGATTCTGAAAGAGCTGCTTATTAGCTCATGTCGCTCCCTTTGAGGTTTGACAGGATGTAGGAGGAGAAGAAGCAGGGATGAAATGCTCCTGATTAGACGCTGCCTATCCTGTCCAGTGAACAGTAAGGAGTAGTGACTGTGTAAGACACTACTGCAGCTGCTGTGGAGTCAGCAGCAATAAGGAGAAGCATTACAGAGATTGTATCCGTCTCCATTTTGATTTCAGAGTGACGGTTACAGATGGATTGGCTGAGTGATGGGGCGATGACTCAGTGCACAACACAAGCCTCATATGTTTGCTTTGGACAGGTCAATAAACTAGGTGCACCTGTAAGGGCTCAACAAATAACAAAGGTAGAAATAAACCTTCTGTTTATGTATCGAGTTTCCTTTGACTAATCAAGGTTACATCTGCATAGTAACTACAAAAGAGTGACAAAAATCCTTCTATAATTTCGGTGGTTTTAGTTTATTGAGAACAAATTTCAATTACTTACTTTGTTGCGACACCACAAGTTGGACATCCTGTTGCTATAACAACCTCTGCTGACAGAGCTCTGTGCTGTTTAGCTGACATTAAATATATCAAGACAAATTTAAAACTCAGATTCGTAAAGGATCAAGCTCTGGAAAAAGGCCTTTAGAGTTTGCAGTTTTTATTTAATGAAATTAAATGATGTTATTTTAAGTATAATCCTAAATTTATCTTCACCTGCCTCTTGCATCCTCAGTTGTATGTGTGGCAGAGAGGAAAACACACAGTGCATCACCAATGGACCGGCCAGAGACCGGACTGATCAGACAGCCAGCTTCATATATGTTTGATTATGAGGCAGTCAGTTTCAGGCAAACAGTCGTCACGCAGCCACATGCTAACAAGTGGTTAGCATGGAAGCTCCTCACCGTGATTGAAGATGCCATTTTGCCAGGGTAAATCAGAGGGAGACCACCTCAAAAATGAAACGATACCCTACTTAGACACTTGTATCATCCTCACGCAGCTGACGCAGGGACTTTTCAAAGAAGCTTACAAAGAAAAAGGCGCTAAAGCTAAAGCTATCCAGGGCTCACAGGCGGCCAGCAGCCTCGGTATGAGCAACGTATCAAAATCGTTACAAGGATGACTGAAAAAGATTTTTAAAAAGTTGATGGCTTGTAAATACTGAACTGAAGCCTGACTCACTGTAAAAAAAACAACAACAGAATTTTGTCACAAAAAATAATTTTCTCAGAATCCTTTAGCCCTGATGTTACCCCTTAATTGAAAAAGTTATTATCCAAAATTATTATCCTGGCATCTCTGTAGATGATTCACAGCCTGACTCATGAGAGGAGTGAAAGAAAAAAAACAGCCTGATTGAACAGGAAATAAAAAGACTCCAACACACAGCTGACAACTGGTTAATAAATGCTAACCACGAACACGACCACAAACAGTTTGGTTAGAGCAATGTCCAATGTTAGAACAGGTTCATCATACCACAGCTAATGTGACCCAATTTATTTGTGTGTTGAACTCTTTTTCATGACAACGTGAAGAGCAGCACATATTACACAGAATCTAGAATCTAATCATTTCACTTCTCATTTTCATAAGCGAGAATCGAGTACACAGCACATCTAAATAGTCAAATCAGAAGTAAAGGGACTTGTATGTCACTTCCTGGACTCTAGTATCTTACCGTGAGAGTCATCTAGCGAAGTGCTCATGGATGTGGTTAACAATGTTTCCTCACATCCTTAAATTGTGCCTAACTGCGTTTCAATGTAGTCATCTAAGTCACAACCCTAACCCTCCATGCAGAAGTGGCAGCCACAGAAGCCCATAGTTGGCTCCATTTATCCTGGAGCTCAGGTTTTGCAGGTTTCCACAGCACATCGACATAACCGACACCATAAATGCTGACTACACTGGCCTCCATGTTTACGTCAGTGCACCACGTGCTGCTATTGCTCTTTTGCAGATGTGCCAGCCCATCCTTGAACCTGACAAAGGCCACATTTATAGAAAAACAAAAGAGAAAAGTGAATGCTTTACGAAAGAGACGAACTGCCTTTAATATTT